AACCATGTAATAACCAGTTATGTACAACAATTTCAACCAATACCCAGTTCTCATCCACAACACTAACCATGTAATAACCAGCTAAGTACAACAGTTTCTATTAACACCCAGTTCTCTTCCACAACACTAACCATGTAATAAACAGTTATATACAACAATTTCAACCAATACCCAGTTCTCTTCCACAACACTAACCATGTAATAACCAGTTATGTACAACAGTTTCAACCAATACCCAGTTCTCATCCACAACACTAACCATGTAATAACCAGCTAAGTACAACAGTTTCTATTAACACCCAGTTCTCTTCCACAACACTAACCATGTAATAACCAGCTATATACAACAGTTTCAACCAATACCCAGTTCTCTTCCACAACACTAACCATGTAATAACCAGTTATGTACAACAGTTTCAACCAATACCCAGTTCTCTTCCACAACACTAACCATGTAATAACCAGCTATCTACAACAGTTTCAACTAATACCCAGTTCTCTTCCACAACATTAACCATGTAATAATCAGTTATGTACAACAGTTTCAACCAATACCCAGTTCTCTTCCGCAACACTAACCATGTAATAACCAGCTATGTACAACAGTTTCACTAATACCCAGTTCTCTTTCACAACACTAACCATGTAATAACCAGCTATGTACAACAGTTTCTACTAATACCCAGTTCTCTTCCACAACACTAACCATGTAATAACCAGCTATCTACAACAGTTTCAACTAATACCCAGTTCTTTTCCACAACTCTAACCATGTAATAACCAGTTATGTACAACAGTTTCAACCAATACCCAGTTCTCTTCCACAACACTAACAATGTAATAACCAGTTATGTGCAACAGTTTGAACCAATACCCAGTTCTCTTCCACAACTCTAACCATGTAATAACCAGATATTTACAACATTTACATATAGCATCAGGTCCTCTTCTGGGTAGGTGTTGCTTAGTGACGGTAGACTCACTGACCACATAACGCCAGACGGTCTATTTTCGTTTTGTTTACATTAATGCACATTCCGCTGTGCCACTGGGGGGGGGGGTTAAATTGTCCAGTTTCTTCATAACTCAATGATGTGACAAATGATATAATTGTTTCTAAAATGGTTTGTTATGAATTTCCCGCAAAGCTGCTCGAGGGCATCTGCAGCAGCCGTCCTTAATTTAGTCCCTAATAGACTAGACTCAGTCACTACAGGGAAGGCAGCTAATCAACACCATCCACCGCCAATTCTTATGATACTCTTTTTACCAATGAATAATGGGATTAACCGTCTAATTATAACATCCACACTGCTGAAATGGCGAGTATATTTGGTGATGGGGATTCGACCCCTCAAATTACTTGTCGATTCCCCTCACCACCAGGAAAGAGAAGGTGAGGGAATTTTTATAAAAACAAAACACTGAAAGACTGTTAGAGTAAAATCTGGCTTTGGTTATTTGAAAGTAGCACACAGTCACGCTGTTTACAAGAGTAAGTAAATATACACCTAACGTTCATTGTCTTGTTTGAAAAACACGATATACATTCACAAAATTCTTATTAACTAGAGAGACACTCAGTAGAGCGCATACCCCCGTCACGCAGCGTTGATCATATTCGGCTCTCAGAAAATACGAAAATGTGTCCGTATGTCCGTCGCTCTGAATGGACACGGACCATTTTTGGCAGGACAATGAGGAAAAAATCCAATCATTATTGACTCAGTTATCGACCAAAAATAGTGTGAAAAATCGTTATCCATGTTAACAGATAGGGAATTTTTGGATTTTCTTGACCTTGACCCTCCAAAAACTAATCAATTCTGTGTTGGATCATAGCCCAAATGTATACAAACTTTAGTCCAAATCCATTCAGTCATTTTCGAGAAACCTTGCTAACAAACACACACACAGATGGTGAAACATAAGATGTTACAGACTATTGTCCACCCCTGTTGGCTGAACGGTAAGTCTGAGGGCTTATAACGTTAAAAATTAGGATTAATTAATTGCGATTGGCATAACACAGATTGTGTAGCTTTGTGCTTTAAAAAATTAAAAACGACTCTGTTATTATAGTTAACCTGAATCTTTTATTCAATATAATTTCAAAAGCATAAAAATAAACTCAGACTTCTCGCTCTTTCATCCTTTACTTTGTGGTAAACCTTTATGAATATCCACTCTTATGTTACCAGTAGCCCATCCTTTATTTGTGGTAAACCTCTATGAATATCCACTCTTACGTTACCAGTAGCCCATCCTTTATTTTGTGGTAAAACTCTATGAATATCCACTCTTACGTTACCAGTAGCCCATCCTTTATTTTGTGGTAATCCTCTATGAGTATTCACTCTTACGTTACCAGTAGCCCATCCTTTATTTTGTGGTAAAACTCTATGAATATCCACTCTTACGTTATCAGTAGCCCATCCCTTATTTTGTGGTAAAACTCTATGAATGTTCACTCTTACGTTACCAGTAGCCCATCCTTTATTTTGTGGTAAACCAATATGAGTATTCACTCTTACGTTACCAGTAGCCCATCCTTTATTTTGTGGTAAACCTCTGTGAGTATTCACTCTTACGTTACCAGTAGCCCATCCTTTATTTTGTGGTAAAACTCTATGAATATCCACTCTTACGTTACCAGTAGCCCATCCTTTATTATGTGGTAAACCTATATGATTATTCATTCTTACGTTACCAGTAGCCCATCCTTTATTTTGTGGTAAACCTCTGTGAATATCCACTCTTATGTTACCAGTAGCCCATCCTTTACTTTGTGGTAAACCTCTATGAATATCCACTCTTACGTTACCAGTAGCCCATCCTTTATTTTGTGGTAAAACTCTATGAATATCCACTCTTATGTTACCAGTAGCCCATCCTTTACTTTGTGGTAAACCTCTATGAATATTCACTCTTACGTTACCAGTAGCCCATCCTTTATTTTGTGGTAAACCTCTGTGAGTATTCACTCTTACGTTACCAGTAGCCCATCCTTTATTTTGTGGTAAACC